ATACTCTAGAGGGGAGGTAGATACTACACTTTTCATTAAACATCGAGGAAAACATCTTCTTCTAGTTCAAATTTATATTGACGATATAATATTTGGTTCTACTAACATACAATTAGTTAAAGAGTTTTCTAAGCTTATGCGGGATAAATTTGAGATGATTCTAATGGGGGAGTTAAATTACTTTCTCGGACATCAAATCAAGCAACTCAAGGAAGGGACATTTGTATGTAAAATAAAATATATTAAGGAGTTGCTTAAACACTTCGCAATGCCTGATGCTAAGTAAATTGACACTCTAATTCCCACAAATGGAAACTTGGATAGAGATGAAAATGGTAAGGATGTTGACATTAAAATGTATCGACGTATAATCAAATCTCTTTTATACCTTACTATATCTTTGCCTTATATAATGTTTAGTGTGTGCATGTGTGCTCAATATCAATCCTCTCCCAAGGAATCACACTTAAAAGCGATAAAGTGCATCCTTAGACAACTTCATGGTACATCTAAGTATGGATTTTAGTTTTCCAAAAGGAGTGATTGCAGTTTGGTTGGTTACTCCGATTCCAATTTTTTCGGTTGCAAATCAGATAGGAAAAGTACTAGTGGAACTTACCACTTATTTTAAAACTCCTTAGTTAGTTGGCATAGCAAGAAAAGAGTCTATGTTGCTTTGTCAACAGTCGAGGAAGAATATGTCGTAGTCGGTATTTGTTGTGCTCAAATTATTTGGCTTAAACTACAACTACTTGACTTTGATATTAAACTTCAACGTATTTCTATCATGTGCGATGACACTAGTGTGAACAACCTAACCAAAAATCATGTGTTGCATTCTCGTACTAAACTTATTGAGATACATCATCATTTCCTATAAGACCATGTTGAGAAGGGCGATGTTGTTTTTGAGCATGTTGATAGTAGAAATCAACTTGTTGATATTTTCACAAAACCTCTTGCGACTGAGCCCTTTTTCGATATTTTTCGGGATTTGGGCATTCTTGATATCTCTAGTGTTTCCTAAAATGTGTTGTAGCATGCACTCTTTATCTTTTGTTTAACTTTTGGTCAAAAGTTTATTTTCTTGTGAAGTGCATTCTCTGTCTCATCCTATGAGGTAATAGCATTCTAAATTTATCTCTTTGTCCTTAAAGTTTCTATGAAATATGCTGCTTATCTATATCTCACATCATAATGCTCCTTATGTTTGAAGTAATTTCAATGATATTTGCGGTTGAGCATGTTATTTATCTTATTCTTATATGAAAAATGCATTTATGCTTTTAGGTCTTTCTGTTTATTGTGTTATTCTGTTGCAACCTTTTATGACAAATGTGTAGTGGATATTATCTATTTTGGCTATACTTGATTATGTATTCATGTTTAAGCATCGTTTTCATTTTAACATAATTTTATGTGAGTGCACGTTACAATTGATTCGTTTAATATTTGCAATGCCACTGAGTGAGTTATATATTGTTGTGTAATTTTCATAATACTTCTCATGTTTTCTGTCTTTGTCTCTTTTTGATGTTGTCAAAAGAGGAGAAGTACAAGGTTTTATGATGCACATATTCAGGGGGAGCTTTTCCAAAGACACCAAATGCTTAGTATGTTTTGCCATCATAAAAAAAAGGGAGTATGTGAGTGCAATATACTCTTAGATATGTTTTGAATGGTGTCAAAACTAGGTAGCATAGTCCTTTGTGTATATTGGACCTTACCTTCTTTGTCTAGATGTATGTCATCATAATAGGACATGTAAAATTAGATAAAATAAGTCATCACATGCAAAAAATATGAATTTTAGTGAAAAAGTAGTCAATGGGTCGATACACTCTTGATAAGTATCGATACATACTGAGTTGTTTTTCAAAGGAAATGGTTTGGCGCATAATGTATTGATACACAGGAAAAATGAGTTGATACATCTTGTGAATGTGTCAACTCCTCCATGGTTGAATTCGACTCCATCTAAAGCGGTTTTCAACCTGGTCACCCCTGACCTTAATGTATCGATACATTGATCGTATGGGTTGATACATCAGGTGGACGAGTCGACTCCCCTCTGAAGATATTTTATGAACTAAAACTTTATGCCTTTAATGTATCGACTCCTTTTGTGTATGTATTGATTCATTCATGATTAGAGTCAATACATTCTGTTCGAACATTCAAAACTTGTATTTTTGGCTTAAAATTTGTTTTTCCTTGTTTTTTTTTCTATACACACATACATAGAAATATGCATTCATGCATCATTTCTCAACATTGAAACTAAGAACACACTTAGAAATATCTCATCATCTTCAACCTTTCTTTGCATGCATTCAACAACTACGCATAATCATTTTTATCATGTGTTATCAAGATAAGATTGATAAGGTCCAATTTAGATTGGTGAAATAAAATTGAGTTGAGTTTTTCTTTAGGAGTTTCATTGATTAAAGGGTTGATTTGGGGGATTTTTGCACAAGTCTTTGCAACTTAGATTCATCTTAGTGAAACCTTTGAAGGGAAGAGAAAAAACTAGGATTGACATCAAATATAGGTTTTAGGGGTTTGAATTGCTACTACTTCTCTTGTAAACTACTATTGCAAAGGTTAATTACAATATCTCAATTTGATTTCGAATGGAGGGCAAACGTACCCATAGTGAGGATAATTGGGGAAGTTCCTAAATAAATCTTGGTGCTCTCTCTCTCTCTCTCTCTCTCTCTCTCTAGATTTTGATAACACTTAGTGTGTAATTTGAATTGCTGAAAACGCTGGTTGTGTTCAAGTGTCTAAAACGGATTTGTGAAACCATTGCAATTGATTTGTTACACTTTCAACACAAAGAGAATTAAGATTGGGGTATTACACACCATGTGTTTGATAAATTGACTACACATTAAGTGTTCGATAAATTTCCTGAGTCAAGTTTATTTTTACATTTAACTGGAAATCATTTATCATTGTGTGGTTTACATCAAACACATTATATAGAACTTATTGGTTTGATTTTCTCATCTTTATCATACGTTATACTACGGTTTATACGCATATCTAATTCTACCAATAACGGTTCGGATAGACGTGGCTTCCGATTGCCCTAGAAAATTAATTTTCAAAACATAATTTTTAATAAGAAAATTTTTATTTGGCGATCTATTCAAGCCCCCTTCTAGATCGTTGTCCTAGTATAACACATGTTGTTTTTCATGCTCTTCTCCTTTGTTATACCTCGTGACGTGATTTCTAATCTCTTTTGAGTGTCCACATTTTTACTTTTCATTTTTTGTCTCTTTTCAAATTTCTCTCCATGTTCTTGATCAATCTCACCCATATTGCTTGATTCTATGAGCTCTATGTGTGGCATGGGTTTTGTCTTGCAAACCCCCTTCTTTGCTTCTTTGTCTTCAATCAGTTGCTCTTCATTAAGAGATGCAAGCCTTGACCCCCCCCCCCCCCCCTTTGTTCTTGTTTCATGCAATGTTATCGACGTTTACTCTTGGTGTTGCTCTATGTTCTCCCATCACATTGTTTCTTCTTGCTTTATTTGGCTTATGCGTACTACTTCCACATGCATGTGGCTTCTCTTCAAATCTCTTGTTGTTATTTTCCTTCATTGCTTTCTCCTTTTGGAATTTTTTGCACCTTACCCAACTCTAAACAGGATTCAGCTTAGTGTAATCCCTCATATTCAACTTAATAATTATCCCTTTAATTGAGAACATAGCAAGTAGCGGTTTTCCCAGATTAACCTGAACACATAGACACACATATTTCTCTCGTTCCTTCGATAGAGTATTCTTATCGACCTTGATCATTCTTCCAATGCGATTTTCGATGAAAGTAAGGATCTAATTGTCATAGTATTTTATGGAAAGCCTAGAAATTCGCACCCAAACCGTCAATTGTTCAATAGCATCTGATTTATGGCAAAAATTAAGGCACCATTATCTAATTGCGAGGTAATGATCGTAAATCATCCACGGTCCTTCTATGAGAGTAAAATTGTGATCTTCTTCGCTTGTAAAGGTGACAAGATAGAATTCTTGCCCTAAAGCAACGATATGCAGGATGCTCCTTCGAGCCCACAATTGATTTAAATGATTTTCCAATGTCTTATATCTTATCTTGAGTCATAGTATTTTAACGATGACCGTTTTTTTTTTCCAGAGTTTGGCTATTATGCGTTCCACTGTTTCGGAGATGATGAATTCAGGAAAATCATTACCACCGACCTTTCTTTCATCAATCATAATCGATTTCTTCTTTTGATTTATTTATATCGGAGTTAACTGTATTCATCCGTTCTCATGTCACTGTTCTTAAAAGATACTGACATTCCAATATTTGAGGGAACACCGGTCTTAAGCAAAACTTCTTGGTCGGCATCGGGTGGCGCGGGTGGCGCAAATACTTCTTTGTCTTTCACTTCATAAATCCTAGAGCGGTGGTGCTCATCGCCGGAGAAGGGTTACAAATTCAATATCTTTGACGTGGCGTTTGATGGCGTCTGTTGTAAAAAAAAAGTGTACTTTTGCGAAACATGGCATATTTGATTGAATGGATTATGTATAACTACGGAAGGCATATTCCAATTAAAATTTGTTAGATACTCTATATATTTAGCTTAGCAAATCAACTTGAAGGTTACGTGACACCGGCGCACTTTACTAAAGTAATTAATGCTTCCATACCTACTTCTAATTGGTACCGTTACTACTAAATCAACATTAACATTTTCATTCACAAAGACAACCATATTCTCAACTACTCCTGACGTGTTTATACACCTTTTTCTCAAATGAAAACATAACTTGTTTCTTCTTCTTTAATTCTACTATGCTAGAAAAAATCGTCAATTCAAGAATGTTTGCATACTCTATTTCAAGTAATGACTATATTATTCTTATTCTTGTTATTATCATCATATACACTTTACTATATAGGGTACAGTACACAACTACACATTGTTTACCAAAACTTGAAGCAAGAAATATTATACATCAGTAATAAGTATGAGGATCCATGGACTCATTCTCTTCAACTTTTCTCCTCTTAAATTTGCCGATAACATAGATCCTGACGTAAAAATTGAGGAAGATGACAAGAACACCAGTGTTGAGAACAGAGTTGAAAACCCAGGCACCTATGCCATTACACCCACCTTTGAAAAAGAAATGAATCAAGAAAACTCCAACATGACACGCCACGTTACAACCCAACAACACAATCTGACAGTTCAACACGAACGGAAAACAAGCGGATCGGAGTCCGATTGCAGTCCAGAATCTGTACCCGTAGACCAGAGAGTAAACGAGAGTTGCGAAGAGAATCGCGAGAACTTGAAAGGATTGCGAGAATTCGAGCCAGAGGAAGGAGACAAAGGTGGAGACGGAGTTGTTTATGAGTTGGTAAAACGACAACCTGCGGCGTTTTAGGATGGTTATGATTGTGCGAAACATGTGGAGGAAGCGGGAGAGGTAGTAAACGTAGGACCAAAAGAAGACGCGGCCGGAGGGACGTGTTCCTAGGGGGAAACAGAGGAGCCATTGGAATGGGGTTTTGGAACGGTGCCAGAACCAGCGTGTGTCGCGAATTTCGGAAACGGCGGAGATTAGGGTTCCGGTGAAGATTGTTGCGGAGATGAGGGACATGGTGAGGCTGTGGACGGCGGGGATGGGGCCGAGGGGGATGTGGCGGCGGTTGGGGAAGAGGAGGGAGAGGGAAAGGTGGAGGAAAAGAGAGAGGATGAGGTAGGTGGCTATGGAGGTGAAGAGGAAGGACCAGGTGGAGCCCCATGAGTGAGTGTGACTCCAACGGAATTCGACGATGGAAGGGTGTTCTGAGAGGTAGTAGATTAGGGTGCGGATTGCGGTTGCCGGTGGTGACGATGGTTTAGCCATGGTGGTGGTTGCGGCGGTGACGGTGTTCAGTTTACATTAGTGTTTTTATTGAACTTGTGGATTTTTGGGAGTAAAAAAGAGATTATAATGTGTGAGAAAGTGGTTGAGGAAGATTAAAAACAAGAGGAGCAGGATGGTGTTGGTGTGGCCGAGTTTCGTTGGAACTTTCTGACAAGCGTTTACCTCATGGGAAATGAAAAATAACTATTGTACAAAAGTATTTTACGTATAATTTTTCAATTTTTATTTATATTTTATTTTAGTTTAAATATTATTTCATTTATGCAATTTTTAATTTATGAAGAGTGTTTTGTTGGATTGAAAACAACACATAAAACACTTTATATGAATGAATATCAATGTCAAAATCAATGCTAGACAAAATGGGCCCTATATGAAGGCAAAAAACTCCAAACGTTCGAGGAAAAAGTCTCTCTAATTTATTTGTTATTATAACTATAATAAGTAAAAAATATGAATATTTTCTAATTTAACGATATATATATATATATATATATATATATATATATATATATATATATATATATATATATATATATATATATATATATATATATATATATATATATATATATATATATATATATATATATATATATATATATATATATATATATATATATATATATATATATATATATATATAAAAGAGTGAATTTGAACTAGGGGAGATCTCTAAGGTCAGAACTTCCATACTTAAATTTTGAAATGAGTTTTAAAAATAAATAAAGTGAAGGATGAAAAAGTGTGTATCTTAAGCCTTATGCATTTAAAAGCATATATACATATGGGCTGAATAGTCGTTGGATTTTCTTTGTAATAGCAATTGGACCTCTTTTTATTAGGCAAATAACGACACATAACAGTTGTCCTCAAGACTTGTTGTGATGTGTTGGGAACGACCATTAGTAGTTGTGGAAAGATCTAAGAGTCGGTTGCAAAGAAAGCAGATGACGAGCACATTAAATGGCAATTGTGTTACTTCACAAAATTTAGTATACGTGGCTCTAACTTTGCGGGTCAGGGCATGAAGCTTTTAACTAGGACGTTCGAGCGTGCTCAAGTGCGGTTGTATTAAGAATCTTGTTGTGACTGCAAAATTAGGAAGGTTTTCAGCAAAATCATCAGCTTCATACTTTTATGCACGCAGATCCACACCTCATTGACCTGAAAGATTAATCTTTCCATCCTCTTTGGTGTTAAGTAGAAATTTAATTTTTGAATTTTAATGCAAATGATTAAGTTTGGGGTTTCTTTTGGTACTAACAACATTTTAAGTTTGGGGTTGCGGTACTAGAGAACACGATTAACAAAACTAAAAATAAAGAAGTTTAAATGACTTCTTGAAGAAAAATGAGAAATATAATTGATCTTACCTTATCAGAAAGGAATCAGCAGTCTGTCACGTGTAACACCCATTTTAATTATTTAGTCTTTTTGGTGTTATTTTATTTCAGTGTGTCTTTATGTGAGGGTGTGTCTGAGTGCATTGGTGGGTGCCCTTAAGTATAGAGATCATTTAATAAACTATAGAATTTAATATTAATACAATATAATTAATAATGATAACAATTTAATAATTAATAGTAATATTGTTATTATTATTATTATTATTATTATTATTATTATTATTTGTATTATTTTTAGATTAAGTGAAGAAAATATAATGGAAGGGGGAGGATAGAAAATAACATAAGAGAAAGTGGATTGGAAAAGGAAATGGAAAGAAATAGAAAGAAGTGGAAAGAAATAGAAAGAAAGAGAAGGAAAGAGGAAGAAGAGGAAAAGGGGAGGAAATTAGAGAGGAAAGCTTGGATTCTTCGAGATCAGCCCTGAAGAATCAATTAATCGAGGTAAGGGTGTGAAACTTGTGATTATGTCCATGCATGTGAATATGTAGGGATTGTTCGAATGGTTTGGGTGATTTTGTGTAGTTTACTATTTTAGATCGAAAATGATTTAATCGGTAGAATTGATGTTTTATCGGGTAAAATCTGGAATAAGTCGTGTAGTTTAGTCGTAGGATGTTAGGCTAAGACTACAGGGACTGGTTTGGTGAGAATCAGATGATTTATGAGCTTCTGATGATTTTTGAATAGTTGGGGTTTTTGAGTATCGTAGGACTCGCTAGGCGAGCAGCTAGTGAGTGAGGTAGTGAGGGCTCGCTAAGGCTTCGCTAAGCGAGTTGTGTGGCGAACACTTCCAGTAGCCACTGTCTGTCTTCGCTAGCGAGTTTGATAGGCGAGTGGGGCAGCGAGCGTTCGCTGAGGCCTCGCTAGGCGAGTGGGCCAGCGAGCATGACAACAACTTGTTTTATTTTTGTTGTTTCCATCCAAAGTTGATGTTTTCGATATATAACGTACAACTTGTGTGCTGTATTATGATATGTTGTGGGTAGCTGTATGATGTGAATCCTAGATTGTGAATTGAGACGGTGTTTAATGGTGAAGAGTGTATACTTGGTATGAAAATGTGAATTTTCCTAATATTGAATGTAATTAACATAATTAATTGGTAAGTAATATATATGATGTATGGTGATGTGATCAGGAGGATCGTGTGCACTTAGTGTGCTTGAGTTTGTTTGTTGTGCATTTGGTGTCGTGCATATCATTGTGTCTTGGTGGGATGAATCGTTGCTCAGGAGGAGTGTTTGTGATTCACCCGTACTCCTTTGTGGAGAATGGTGGGATAGATCGTTGCTCAGGGGGAGTGTATGCGATCCATCCGTACTCCTTTGTGGAGAATGGTGGGATGAATAGTTGCTCAGGAGGAGTGTATGCGATTCATCTGTACTTCTTTGTGGAGAATGGTGGGGATAGATCATTGCCAAGGAGGGGTGTATGTGATCTATCCTGGGTTCGATTGAATGAACCAATGAGTCGGTACCGCATGCATGATGTTGAGTTGCATGTTTGTATTATTGCATATTGTGTTTGATTTTTGGACATTAGGTCGTCGTTGATGCATGTTGAGTGATATTTTATATAATTACTACTTTTGATCATGTATCTTATTACTGATAATTTTGATCATATTTTCTCACCCCTTTGTTATTGTGGTGGTCTGTGCTTCTTCGGAAGTACAGATAATCCAGGTACATAGCTAGCTTGGATAGTGGTACGCAGGTCGAGTCTTAGGATGCTCTGATACGTAACACGAGACTTGGGTGTTTACTTTTAACTATATTGAATTTGTTCTATTCCTGTGACGTATCATATTTTTGGTGAACCTTGTTAATGAATGATTTTATGTAATTTGGCGGATGGTCGTGAATGTTAAATTGATGATTACTTTCGCTGTTTTATTTTGAAGACCATCTAATGATGTTGAACTATTTGATGTGATATCCCACTTTTGAGGAGAAATTCTGATGTTTACTTGAAATAATCGTATTTTATTTTAATTATGGGAAGTGAGGTGTTACAATTGGTATCAAAGCAGTCCGTCTTGCCGGCCAATGTAGTAGTTGAGTCTGTCCTTAGGATAGAGATTGTGGACCTTTTAACCTAGTGTTGTTATGGTTGAGCCGTATGGCAGGAAGGAATGATGTTGCTTTGGCTGAAGCTATGCAAAACAATGGCGCAGGTGATTGCTAATCAGAATCTAGTTGCGGGTGCTCAGTTTAGCAATTTAGCTCAGTTTTGGAATAACAAGCCACCGACATTTGAAGGAGGAATTTTGGATCTTGAAGCTGCACAGAAATGGCTGAAGGCAATTGAGAAAATTTTCAGGATGATGGGTTGTAGTGATGAGCAAAAAGTGAATTTTGGTACTCACATGTTGGAAGGAGAGGCTGAGGCTTGGTGGGACAACAGTCGCCAAAGATTGGAGACTGCAGGAACTGCGATTACTTGGGATGTGGTTCGAACGGGTTTTCTGGAAAAGTATTTTCCGGAAGATATACGAAGTGCTAAGGAGATAGAGTTTCTGGAGCTGAAGCAGGGTAATCTGACTGTAGCAGAGTATGCTGCTAAATTTGAAGGGCTGGTACAGTATTGTCCTCATTACAATACTGAAGCAGCGATGACCTCCAAGTGTTTGAAGTTTGAAAACGGGCTGCGTCCGGAGATTAAGATGGGGATCGCTTGTCAGAAGATCAGGAATTATCCTGAGCTGGTAAGCAGAAGCAGAATTTATGATAATGATAACTGGGCCAGGATTGCACACTATAGGGTTGTGAATGACCGTAAAGGTAAGCAGAGATTTGGTGGTACTCCTTACAGTGTTCCTGCTGATAAGGGAAAACATAAGGCTGCTGCTGATAAGAAGCCCAGAGAAGGGAAAGCATCTGCTGATTTGAAATGTTTCCGGTGTGGTGGCGCGGGGCATCATGCTAATGATTGTACTAATGAGGTGAAGAAGTGTTTCAAGTGTGGTAATACAGGCCATGCGATGGCGGATTGCAGGGCCACTATGCCTACCTATTATAACTGTGGTGAGAAAGTTCATATCAGTACACATTGCGAGAAGTCGAAGAAGTCTCAGGTGCCTCAGGCCAGCGGTAAAGTATTTGCTGTGGTAGGAACTCAATCGGCCAGCGAGGAGCGTTCTATTAAAGGTACTTGTTTCATCAATAATATTCCTTTGACTGCTATGATTGACACGGGTGCAACCCACTCGCTCCTTTCTGTTGATTGTGTGAAGAGATTAGGATTGGTGTCGTCTACTCTTGAACGACGGATGACTATCGAAACTCCCTATATTGGTTCGGTGACTACTTCTCTAGTGTGTTTGAAGTGTCCCTTGACTATTTTCGGTAGAGACTTTGGGATGGATCTGATTTGTCTACCACTTGGTAATTTGGATGTTATTCTGGGTATGAACTGGTTAGAGTTTAACCGAGTCTACATTGATTGTTTTCGAAAGGTGTTGTTGTTCCTTACTCCAGAAGAGGAAGCGTTTGCGAATTCCTTGTCCAATAAGGAATTGAGGACCTTGTTGGAGGACGAAGCTAAAATGTTTGCTTTATTTGCATC